GTTGGCTACAATTATCAACATCAGTTGACTCATCCAGTTGCATGTTTATTTTTAGTGAACTGATTTTCATGTCTTCAATTACTTGCATTAAAATATCTTCACTGAGATCTTGTATTCGCGATCGTATAATATCATTTAATAATGGAATCTGTTGGATTTGTTTATATGCTTCCGAATCTAAAACTGTTTTAGCAAGGTTTAATCAACTCTTCAGCGATCGCGTGAGGTTTCTTTTTCTTTTTTTTTTTTTTTTTTTTTTTCTTTTTTTTTTTTTTTTTTTTTTTTTTTTTTTTTTTTTTTTTTTTTTTTTTTTTGTTTTTTTTTTTTTTTTTTTTTTTTTTTTTTTTTTTTTTCTTTTTTTTTTTTTTTTTTTTTTTTTTTTTTTTTTTTTTTTTTTTTTTTTTTTTTTTTTTTTTTTTTTTTTTTTTTTTTTTTTTTTTTTTTTTTTTTTTTTTTTTTTTTTTTTTTTTTTTTTTTTTTTTTTTTTTTTTTTTGTTTTTGTTTTTTTTTTTTTTTTTTTTTAAATATGCTACTTGATATGCACGCTTCAAATAAAGCCACTTGATACGAGGCTTGTAATAAAGGTTTTTGAATTGCTAGTCCGCAAAATTTTAAGATAGTTCCACTGGTATCAAACCGAGCCTTCTTTGACTTCAAGCTGTTCATGCTATGCCCTTTTTCGCCACCATGCAGATAGTTAAAATGCTCTAATAACTTTGATGGTTTGAGATTGCTGTTTGAAAATATCTAAGAACACAATATGCATTACAGTCGTTGTGTGCAATCTTTTTCAGTTGTGCAGGTAAATCCATAACCAGCATACTCATCGTTCCATTGTCGTTTTTTTGACATAGTGGGGTTCACTATAATCGATTTAATTATTTAGAAATAATGTAATATAATATATATAATGTTCTTACGTTTGTAATATCACTGAATCCTATTCGGCTTGAACGGGCAATTAAGAATGTACAGTCAAAAGTCGTTAATTCGGACACCCATAATCCGGAATGATCTATAATCCGGACCTCAAAGCTACAAACTTTCTGCGCATGCGTCGCGTTCACGCATGCGCACAGGCGTTTACGAGAGCGCGTAAGACCCTTACGGCTGCGAATATGTTTGTGCGCATGCGCGTTTAATGTGTAACGGAGTTATACGCTAAGCTAAAGTTATCTAATTCAGTTAATGTTGCAGATTGCGTTGTTCCTTAATCTTCGAATTGGATCCAGCTTATTATTTTTTGCAGACTGTTAGAGCAATTTTATAAAAGTAAGCTTGAACTTTCGATTATGTCAAATAGAATTTCTGATATATATTTACTACAAAGCGAAAGTATGTTTTGAAATCCGAAATCTGTTTATCAGTTTCACGCTGCTCTGCGGCAGAGGGGGGGGGGGGGCAGAAACGTCATTATTAGATTATGATAGATTAGAAAGATTATGTCAAATAGAATTTCCGACATATATTTACTAATATGTAATTTGTATCTACAAAGCGAAAGTATGTTTTGAAATCCAAAATCTGTTTATCAATTTCACGCCGCGGATTGGAAGTTGATCTGTCAGCACTATCCTTATCTTCAGGGCAGTTGTTTTTATTTTATTTGGTTTATAATTCCGTACTAAGTGTAGTATTTCATCTCGATGTACTCCGTCTTTGATATGATTTAAATCAAGTTCCTCGACATTATAATTCGCTTCCGATTGTGAAGAAAGTGACCCAGAGGTTATTGAAAACGAAAACATTTTGATTGACAAATTAGTCGGTATTCTCAACACAGCAATTATAGGACTTGAACAGCGGAACTTTGTAACTAAACAAGAAATTATGTCTGTTTAATAGAATTAAAGAGAAAGTATTATCACATGAAACGAAGCAACTTATATTGAAGGAAATGTTTAATAAAGTAAACAAATAAATATTAAGCTTTTTCTTTTTGTAAATTTTGATACCCTTTAGATCATAATTGTTCTTTATTTCATAAATTACGGTTTCATATTTTTAATTTTGTAATTTCTGCATGCCATCTTACTAGATTTAAACTGATGATCTATAATCCGGAAAGATCTATAATCCGGCGCCGAAGTCCCGACGAGTCCGGATTAACGACTTTTGACTGTATTAGTCTCAAGAGGTTTCTGGACAAGTCAGAATACACAATACGCATGTCGCAGACACAATAGTTGACTCAACTTGACTCAACCAACACAGGAGCAGTAGATGCAGATACAAATTTGTGAATCCGTAGATTCCATTGGAGTAGCACATACTGAACTCGGCGCATGCGCAAGCTGGGATAACGTTCTCCACTTGTATTCCCACAAAGTTTTTTTTCTTTTCTCCGTCACCTAGCTGCCTGTTCGCATTCATTTGTAGCGTTTCATGCTTTTTCGTAGCGTAGTGTATAAGCCCAACGGCACCGGCTCTTTTCTGTGTCTTTTGCCGATAAGTGAGCTAGGTGCTATCAATTTTTATGAGCTTCAATATTGGGGACACTATTGCAGATTTCAAATATTTTATTATAAAAAATTTAATAAATGATATTTAATAATTTTTATGGTTAGGTAGGGGCTTCTCCCGCACCTACAAAAATACATTCCCGCACCGCCAGTTAAGAACCACTGTTCTAGGTGGATAAACACTCTTAGCCTTTAGAGGCACGTGTCAACTTAGAAGCATGTGTCTTTAGAAGTGTATGTAAGCTGTTCAAAGAAAATTTAAAATGAGAGTGGAATTCATAGATGTTAGAAGGTTGAAAAGCATTTATAAAAGGAGGTCAAATATGCCATGACAGTCTAGTAATAGTGTGTGAATGGATAATAAAAGCATGGAACGAATTTAAACCGGACATAATTCAAAAGTCATTTAAAATATAGTATGTCTAACAACCTAGAAGGAACGGAAGATAATTATTTATTTATGGATCACAGTAATAGTGATAGTAAAAATGAAACAGAATTCAGTGATGTGCCTGAAGACATAACAGAAAACGAATATGACAAACTTTTCATATTATCCAATGATAAAATTTTCGAAGTTCATAAGGTTCATATTTAAACGAAACAGCATTTCTTTTAAATAAATGGCATTTAGGTACAAGAAGAAATCTAATTTTTGTACTCTCATCTCTTCCTTATTTTTAAATTATTAGCTTTACATTTGGGATATAATGACATATAAATTTCAATATCATTTCTTGCATTAAAAATGCACATTATACACCCGATCCCAGTTGGTTGCATGATTAGTGTCTCTCTAAGCAAATACAAGTAAGTTTCCTATGAAAAGTACTCTACAAAGGCATCCATCTTGTTGTCCTTGTTTACTGTATCGTAACTGATTAAATAAACAGAAAGTTTGAAACAAAAGTAGAAAAATTTCCAAAGGAAAAAATTAAGAAATACCTTTTAAATATAATACTTATAGCATTAAATATATTCAAAACAGACAATTACAGTAATATTTATACTTTTAATTAAAACAAAAAAGAAATTGTTGCTAAATATCCGATTCGAATGGTGCATAAAATACTTAATAAAAAATAATTAGAAAACTATAATGAAGACTTACAAAAAACAATGCAGCATTAATATGAAAAAAAAAGAAGCAAGAATTAAAAATAGCTCAGTTTTAACACTTTGCAAATAAGAAAGGAGTTCTTAATGCAATTATATGGATGGTTGGCCATATATACAACTTGGCCATCTGCAACTGGTTAAATTTTTTTCTAACTATACAATTAAAAGAATAATCAGCTGAAGAATTAACAAAGTCATAAGCACCAACAGCAGATAGTAGATGAGATCCTGCCTCAACAAAAGTTAGAATTTCTCAAATTATAAGGATAGAAATGTTACACCAGTAATTGCTAAATGTCAAATGTTAATCACAAATGTCCCATGCAAGAAGCAGTCTTAAAATGTTTATAAGAAAAATAGAGAAACAATTTTTCCAATGGAACTTTTACAATAGACAAAATTCTAAAATTAAAATGGGTTACCTGAACAGCATTGCCAACATGAAACTAAAGTTAAGTGGAACTCAAACTAATACTAGTTTTATAGTAAAATACTGTTAGGGATAAAACTGATTGTTAGCGATGGCTGAGTGCACATTTTGTTGGCTCCTGGTTCATATCCTATCCTAGACAAAGCATGGATATTTTGTATTGCAACTCAAGTACAATACAAATGAGAACACTTAAAATCTATCAACTCAAGCTTCAACTTTGCTTGAAAGAGGGGTTCAAGAACCATAGATTCCATCCTCTGAGATGCTCTTGGTGAAAACTGGATGAGCTCAGGTATATAGAAACTATACCTTTTCCTTGAATTAAATCATCCAAACAGCAAACTCTAGTATTTCTATGAAAAATGATAGGAGTCCACTTTTCTTTCAAACAGAGGGAAAAAATTCTGAGACATAATATATTTGGGGGAAAGTGCAGAATCGCCCACTGCTTGGTGCATTCATAAGAATTGCATATACTCGGTATCTATATACGCATCGACCTATTTTCACTTAAAAAAAAATCCCTGAATTGCACAATGGCATTGCGCATTCCCTTGACTTTATCCATATACATATCAATCTATTTTCACTTAAAAAGTCAAAGAAAATTGACAAAATCCAATTCTTCTTACTCTTGTAAAAAGCGCCAAACAAATAAGTGGGCGATTCTGCACTTTACCTTATATTTGTTTCTTAAAATAAGTAGACCCTGTATATTACGTTATATTCCCCCCAAAAAAGTACTATATCCAATTAAAAAATACATAACAGCTTTGAGGTTTTTTTAAAAAAGTTTATACTATTTTACACGAATTTTTTACTTTCCAGACTTCGCATACATACAAATGTAGATTCATTTTAAGAGAAAATTAGATAACTTTTTTAAACACTATTTATTTATTTATCTAATGTATATTCAATTTATATAACAGGATGTAGACAAATATGGTTAAACATAAAAATTTAGTTTCAAAAACACACGTTACCTTTACGCAGTTTATCAATTAAACTAGGATTTATAGGAAGATCATTCACTTGCATAAAATGATCTTTATCGAAAACAGAACAGGACATAACTAAAAATAATTTCTAAGCGTACTGATACTTATTTAAAAACCGTATTCAAAGTACAATAAATTATCATTTATGAACTATAATATGCAGCCTAGTCGATACTTCAGAAATCATATTCATAGCATTTTACCCTAATAACAAATAACTTAATTTCGGATTAAATCCCGCGCTTAGATGCACCGCCAAAGCTTCTTTGGATACACGTCAAGTCTTTGAGCCCGCATAGGAAGAAAAAAAAAAAGTGACCCGCCCCCCAAAAAATGAAATTTTATTTTGCAGGTGGAAAATTAGCGTATCAATTTTAATTACAAGATTAAACAAAATAAGACATAACCTTAGATTAACAAAGTTTTTCTGATTTCTTTTCTTTCCAATATACATCTCCAAGAAATCAGGCCACACAGGGGTGAAACTTCCCATGAAAATTAATGTAAAACTTTTGATTTAAAATTTTGTCTTGTTAAAAAAAAAGTTTAGTTTTAATTTTTTGCCAGATTTTACAGAAGAAAAAACTCCTCTTGAATAAGGACATCATAAAGTGTTTACAAAATGGAAAATATTTCTGGTTTTCTGCATTAGGAATTTTATTAAAAACATATTTTAAAAAATTCAAACAATTCAGATAACGCAAGCATCAAAATAAGGTAAAATATTACAGCATATTCTACTTGTTATATAAAACATTCAATGTTTTAATTTAAAATTCCATTTACAAAACGATTTCTAAAGATGTAGCTATCGAAATATTACAACAGCTTTCAAATTTAAAAAAAAATGAAGTGCAGTTACATTTGTTAAACTTTAATTTATAAGTTCTTTTACAAATAGCTCTTATTTCGAGCCAACTTGGTAACTTAATTTTTTTAATGTAAACAGCAGCTAAACTTTACAAATCGAAAAACTGGCAATTCTATAACAGTTTTTTGTTTCCTTTCAGTAAAGATGGCTGGAGAGGATCCTTTAGGAGTTTTAATTCAAGATTTAATTGAAGAATATCGTAAACTAAACAACTTCTGTATCATCTGTGATGCAAAACTGAAAGCGTTATTGAAGGAGGAAGGTATTTTTTTGTTTTTGTGTTTTCAGGAAAACCTTATAAATTTTGTTTGAAGATATGCAAGAAAAATAGATTTCAATAAAGAATAAAAATAAAAAGAGGAATAAATTTCATGTTCTTTTAAGAAGATAGTTATCCTGAAAATTGGCAGAAATAATTAGCTATTTAACTTCACCTCGTTTTTTAATTACGAATCCTAAAGACAAAGATTTCAAATTTTGAGGAAAACTTATGTGTTCTTTAACCGAACCCGATGCACGGGGTAAATTACCTAAATAATAAATTATTCTTTACAGGTCATTTTAAGAAAGAGAAGGGTGAGAAAAGTGGGCTAAAATCACTGCATGATATGCTTTTGTAAACAAGTATGATCGATTTGCAATATATGGGTTGGTTTAATTTCAGATTTTTGACAGTGCACGCTTTAAGGAAATAAAACCATGAGGCAAAGAAAGTAATCTTTCAGAGAAAAATTTTTTGGGATAAACGAATTTAAATGTAATTACTTACAAGTTATTACAGTTGATTTGAGATTACTTGATTTTATTTTACTTATTAATTCATTTTTACTTCATTGTACGAAGCAAAAAAATTATTGTAATCACGAAAAATTACGGGTACCATATTTCAAAGAAAATTTCTATTTTGACCGCTATCGAATGCAATTTAACGATGTTTTTGTATGACATCTGTACGTAAGGACAGAATAAAGGACTTTTTCCCCAAAAGAATTATAAAACTGATTTAAACTGGATTCAAAAGAGATTTTATCGTGGCGTCTGTACGTATGTAGGTATCTAGCCATAACTCAAAAACGAGTAGCCTCAGAACGTTGAAATTTTGTATATAGGACTGCTATAATATGTAGTTGCGCATGTGCCTTTTCGGCTACAATCGGCCGCACCAAAACTATATATATTTAACAAACACTCTTCATTCATACAAAGCAAATATAAAATTTTATTTGTATAAAGTATATATATATATATAACCACTCTGTTACTCGGCTCAGTAAGCTCAGTTCTTTTTTTTGGGGGGGGGGTTGTTGTTGTTCTTATATTTTGGTGGTAAATAATGCATTTTTTGCTATAAAAATGATTAAATTATGCTGTTCTTATAATCTGGCTAAGATTTTTATGCCTTTAGTTAATCAGCAAGCAATAGTCATAAATTTATCAACAATTATAAAGTTGTTTAAGTGCGGCTAACTTTATTTTGTTTTACTATAGAAGCCACATTTGTTTACATTTGGAATAGCGAATTCAGTTTCTGCATCTTCAGTGTCTTTTTGCCAAATGTGAACTTTCAGTTTTGTGCACCGAAAAGTCCGCCTTCATGCCCGCTGGCCGAATTCCTTCTTTTTGCTTAGGGACGCTAATTTTAATTGTAAAACTTATTTAAAATTGTTTAACTGTATTTGGTGTTTTATCTTTTTCTATACTTTTCAATTTTTAATGAAGATATTCTAAGGTTTTATGTATTTTTGCGTTGCCGCGAAGTGAGAACTGAATTAATTAAATGAGAAATATATCTAATGAAAATCGAGGAAATAAGTTTAAATGAAATGCAGCAAAAAAAAAAAATGCTTAAAATTTAATATTCCATACACGAAGTCATGTGATGTCCACGTCAGTTTTTTTAATTTTTCGAAAATTTAAAAGTGTGGAGCTTGGCCCTTGCTGCAAACGCTTAAATTTCTATTTTGGAATATGTCTCTTATGATTATTTTTAAATTTCAAAAATTTTGCCTACCATTTGTTCAAGCATTATTTAAGCACGAATTTTGAATGAGACTTGAGTTTGAACATTCTCCTTCAACGCAATCTTGTTCCATATTAAATCATCGCAATTAAACTATTCTATGAGCTATCTTTGTATAATCAAACTGTCCGGGTCTTGCAAACGAACATTTAAATATTCTTTTAGATTTTGCAAGTGGCTCGTATATAACAATGAGAGTATCTTCTGAGGGAGTTTTGCGTTTTTCACATTTTTGTTTGTTTGTTTGTTCTATTTTGCTGCGTTTCTGCATTTAACTTTTTTTATATTACACTTACTGTATAAAAATTGCATATTTCAAAAATACTATTGATTTTTAAAATATGCTAAACAATTTTTGTACGTTTTTTCGCTTATATTTATTTTATTACGATTTCTTCTTTAGTGAATGATAAGGCTTCAAATCATTAAACAATTAATTATCAGCTTTATTGATGACATTTTTGTAATTAATGGGATTGTGGTTATGCCAATCCATTCCCGGTACGTATTTGATTACCGATCCTCAGTCGAACCATTTATCATCATTGACCTTCCTTAAAATTTTATCGACTTCCAGGGACGTCAGTACCGACCCCGTTGGAAAGGAGTCATTAGGCTTATTTTGAAGGAGTCGTGAAAAATAAGCAATGCCCTCGCCGTGACTCGAACTACGGACCTTTCGAATATGCGTCGAGTGTGCCACTACACCACGAAGGTATGCTAAGAAGACTGGAGAAATAGCTTACATGCTCCCCCTTTTAAAGGGCGACTGGAAATTAGGAGACTCGATCGCCAAATCCTGGCGGTGGAGAATCATCATCCACCACCTTTTTTAGTTCGTGCGCCACTGTAGAGACATTAGGTTTTTTTTTATACGGGAGGGATGAAAAATGAGCAATGCCCTCGCTGGGACTTGAACCACGAACCTCTCGAATACGCGTCGAGCGTGCTGACCACTATACCACGAAAGCATGCTAAAAAGGAGGGATAAATACCTTATAAGTTGTGTTCAGGATGAAATCTTATTTCAGAATGGGTTAGTTTCAGTTCTCAATGCATTTGATTGGATAATTAATACTGCTGTAAAATTATCAATGGCTGTTTTAGTTTCATTTGTATTACCAGTGTTATGCGAGAATCATATGACATGGATTAAGTCTCGAAATGACGTAGGGTATAGATTACTATTTTTAGAATAAAAGGGGAAAATACTCAAAATTAAGCATTAAGGTGATATTGCTAATTTAAATTATAATTTATATTAACATATCTTTTATCTTATATACACACAATTTTTTTTTCATAATATTTTTTTAAAGCTGAGAGAAAGAATAAAAAAATTCATCAACGTATACGCAGAGCATGCTGCCTTGGTGGTAAACTGGAACCTGAATATCTAGAACGTTTCCAGGTAGGTTTTGATATGATTGTTTATAAATCCTATCTACAATAAAAAATTCTTCTGGTTGAAAAAAAAAAAAAAAAAAAGATACGAATTATGTGTGATATCGTACTCCTTTATTTGAACTGAATAACTGAAGTTGTTTCCCACAATCTTTACAGCGTACATTTGTATAATGGATATAATTGGATCAGTTTTATGTTAATAATATTCATGTTTTGAAATCATATGTAAAACAGTTTATAGCTCACCTCCAAGTCCGCGAAACTTGATCGAGACGGATTTGCTGGATTGGGTGAGCTACGCACATTAATAATTGCTGGTGGCTCTTTTATTGCGCTTAATCTTTTATATTACTTTTGTACTTTTCCTATGCATATTTAAAATAAACCTTTATTTTCGCTCCAGCGGAATGCCACAGTTATTTCTTTAAAAAATTTGAACGATAGTAAGTGAAAATTTTATTCAAACATTTCAACATAGATAAATCTTCATCCCTTATTTTTCTCGTTTTAATCTTTTACTTACTAAACTAAATTCGAAGTCTGCAGAATGATGTGGCGAAAAAAACTGTAGGCGTTTTAGCAGCTTTATATAAACATATGATGGTGATATATGAATGAAAATTTTTCCATATCTGTAAACATCACTAAATTTGGTGATGCTGATATTTTGGATATTATCCAAGACGCTGTTCGTACATTCGTTCTTTTAAGTATCCCCAAACTAAAAATTGCCAGTCGTTAAGTCTGGGAATCTCCGCGATCTTCAGCCTTCGCTCATTTTTCCACTCTGCGATAAGCATCTTATGAATAGGAAACAATACTCACGCTCCCTGTCTGTGTTAGATTAGCAATCAAATTCTTAACTGGCCAACTAACCATCCATGTTGATTTTAAGCTCAAAGAATACTGCAATAATAATGCGTATGGCAGGTATACCATCTTCCACCAGGGCTT